GAATGGATCGACCGATCGACTCCACAGACTTTGCAAATCTGAAACTGCCTTGCAGTAATGTTAAGGTGACTTTCATAAGGTCACCGGCTGTCCTCGCCGCCAGTAATTTGCCACTTTCTCTTCTTTCTACCTGGATAACTTCTTCAAAGAGTTTTGCTTAAAAACACAAAATGATGCTGAAACGACCTCGGTCGGGTCCGTCGTCTCTTGAGATTCAGTATTCTGCACGGCCGGGAAAATTCATCCCGTTTCTTATTGGCAGAGGCTTGTGGATTTATAGTTTTACTACAATCAAAAATGTTTCAAAAGTGCTGCTGATACATGCGTTTGAAATTCGAAGTCGAGGAAGCGCAAAACTTTCATCACGACATAATACTTTGCGTCGTCACCTTTAATGAGATTCCTCTGAGGCACAAGTTTTGGCGTTTAGACCACCTCAGTCGCCTTCACCATGGCTAGAAACGCTGGGGTACGCAAGTGCAAAGGTAGCACCACTTTTTATCGAAACGCGTCACTAGGACCCTAGGCGCCATGGACTTCTAACAGACTCCACCAAACTTAACATGGTCCGCCCACCGTTCGATATCTTGTCTGCGTCGCCACGTTGATGTGCTATGCTCTCTCTTCTCGGACTTTCTCTACCACTCTCCGCGCTCACATTATCTCTCATCCCTGCCTTTTTTGAACATCTCCACAGCATGGAGCAAAATGCTCATATTTCCTGTGTATTTCAGGATTTTCTTTCCTTTTTCTCCACTGGCGGTCCACCTCCCACCCCTACTTTCACATTTGAGTGGAATCACCCCATCAATTTAATCCTGATTCTTGCCTTTAACGATTAATTTTGCTCGTTCATTTGCAAGGATCGTCTCTCTGTTGGATCTGCGCCACTAGATTTTCGAATTATAGCGGAATCCAGCCAACAAGTGATGAAGGAGGAGTGCGCAGCAGTGACAAATCGAGCAGCCATTACGCGCTGTAGTCAGGATCGCATCCCGACACTAACTTCGGCCAGCTATCCAACATTTGAGGCACAAGGACTTTCCAGGAAATCAATTCCGTTTATGAGTGCATCACCGCTTCTGTATTCCATTTGTTCAACCAAAATATACCATGCTTCCGAACATGTCACGCATATTGCTATATCAACGGGATTTTTCAAATACGAACAAATTTCCGAACCTACTTTTGATGCAGCAGCGTAAGCAATAAATACGGTAACAGGATGGTGCCGCTCGCAATTTTCAACAATGAGCACCAGGTAATTTTGCTGTGTACTCCACATACCTATTTCGGTAGCACAGTGTTTGGTCTTTGATTTCGTCACATGAAATATTCCCAATTGGATTGGGTAATCTTTCGTCACCTCGAGAAACAATCATTCCTTTGCTACGACGAGCTATTTATTGTGTTATCAAGGTCTTCACGAAACTCTGTGACAAACATTACGTAGTTTAAGAGGCCATTTGCTAGGCATCAATAGACCTAAGCGCGAAAGGAATGTATTCGGGATTTGATGATATTGATCAAAACCCTTTCGGGACCTGAGTATTTTCCTCCGTGGAGAAAATTTCTCTTCTTGCTATTGTTTATCGCTTGTGAGCACATAAATATCATTAATAGCGAAATTCGGAAGCTGTTCGATCACAAATTACGAAACTAGGAAGCTTTGAAAATTGGCACAGCTTCTTAGTTTTTTTAGCTAATGTCGAAACTTTCCTTTTTACATATTTCTCTTCATTTGTGATGCGAAATAGCCGCGCAAATTCCACTACAATGCATATTATATGGGCTAAGAAGCTAAATAAGCAATAGGGTGTTTGGCGCACATATGGACAAAGAAAATGGAAGAACATAGTCAAGAAAGAGGTATGGAATATATCTCTTTGGGCAAGTTCGACACGAGACCTCTTCGGTTCAGCCACAATTGTCCTGCCAAGCCCCATACAGCCTGCTAGAGACCCTTCTATTATTCTGGAGTGAGAAGTTGCGAACGCGATGGAGCGTGAGAAAAGGAAGTGCCCAACAGCCTGGCAACATCCCTGCGGATTTGCACCGTGCTGAGAAATGACAGGCTTTCTATCCTCGCTTGTGCTAAACACCTTCAAACACTACCTATAGGCTAAGATACACTCCGGAGATGGAAAGGATCCAAGAATGTTCTCTGTGTAAAGAAAGGGCCAGCCGAAGAAGAGTTTTGAACTACACCAATTCAGCGTGCAATTTTTTCTTTTCGCGAGTAGTATACAATTCGTTCACAAAAATGCTGCTTAATTGCATGGAGCACATCTTCGACGAATACCACCCAATAGAGAAGACAGGGTTAAGAAAGTACTTCGCATGCATGGATCACGTACAAGCGGTTACTTAGCTTGTTGAGAGACGTCACGATTATCACCTTCCATTGGTACTTTTGCTTCGCATTGGATGGGCAAAAAGCATTAGATTCGGTAAGTTCAACGCTGTCTGAGGCTCAATTACAAGAGAGCTCCCCCTATCTACATCCAACTGCTAGAACAATGCTTCTCAAATACAACAACAAATGTTTAGCGCTGTTGAACAGAGATGAAGATCCCTATTCAGAAAGGTGTACGGCAAGGAGATACGGTATATAACCAAAGTTATTCTATCTAAGTTATCAAGGCTGCATTACAGTTATGCAAACCCTAATTGGGGAAGTCAAAGAATACCTCATTTATGGAATAACCGCTTTTGCTGAATCGTACTGATATCTCTACAACACAAGGAATTGGAAAAAAATTGTCATCGAATCAAGACTGTGGAAGACTATGGAAGACTCGAAAATCGGCTCGGGAATGATCATGTCAAAAACATGAACGACGGTGAATCAGTGGTGTGATACAGGTACAATAAAACTGGAGGAAAAGCTACTAGAGATGGAGGGAAATTTCTATTACCTGGCAAAGAGAAAACATGTTTCCAAGTTTCCACAATTTGACGCGCCTTTCTTTTAAAAAATCTATTCTTCTGTTGCGATTTCCAATTTTGAAGAATTATAGTGCTCATCGTATTCTCCATTGGATATGACACACTAAGTGAGTTCGTGACGATTTCATTGTCTAGTGATTACTCTAGGTCGAAAATAAAGCAGTGGTCCCGTTTTGAGTTCTCTGGACGGGTTTCCCTGTTTTTCTCGCCATTGGCGTACCATTGAGCACCCCTTCACATTTCCCTTTAAAACTTGTAAACCCTCTAAAACCTATAGCAATCGTTGCCTTCAAAAAGTTGTGCATGCTTGAAAATTTGTTGAAAAACTCTCACCCAAACTTATTAAGATGGATCGCGCTTGACCGCTGGTTCTTTAATACCACTGTCGGAAGAGTTTACAAATCTTGAAAACTATCAACCGTAGTGTTGATTTTGAGTTGTTAAAAAACATGAACAGGCAATTTATGCTATGATTTCTGGTTTCCCAGTGAACGCCGCTGCACTTGCAAGTCCCAGACTGCCAACGGTGATTTGTTGGACACATTCCTGGCTTGGCCACAGCATCCATACCAGTCCTTGCAATCGACGAATTGTAGACATGTTTCTGGAATCAATCATATTACTCACTTTCTAAAGCTAGCTTCACACCTTGATAGGATAGTTTATGGAAAAAAAAAGCTAACCGTACTGGCACAGTCACTCACCCAAAACGAATTCCAATTTGAGCGAAGTTATTACGACTGACGGCGCCGTCCATCTAGCGAATGCGCGGAAGTCAGTGAAGTTGGCTGGGGTCTCGTTCAACGGGCCACCACCGTACACATTCCAGTACCTAGGCACTCAAAATAGAAATGTGGCCATGGCTGTGGCAGAGACATTTTTGACTAATGAAATGTTATAATCACCGAATGGTCACTCATAGAGTAGATGGAAGGTGCTCTAGTCACTCACATCACACACGATGCTTTTCAAGTCGTAAAACTTTCTAGGCACTCACCATAGCGCAAGGTTGAGGTTATTGATCAAAGCATTACCCGTGATCTGGCTCCAATCGTACGAACTCGTGTAGATTCCGACAGCGACACCATATTGCTGGAATGAAGCTAATTTTACAGGCGCATAGCCCCTCTACTGCAGCCTTCTTTTTACCACTTACATTGGCTCTTGACAAGATGGCGTTCAGGAAGTTAACATTGGCTGTGTAACTCGCGAGCCAGCTGACTGGTGACACTACCTGGAACGATGTGACTGAGCTTCCATCCTGGTATTGTTTCAGAAGAATCTGTGTGGGAATTTCTCTTCAATGGTAAGGGAACAGGGACTTTATTCAAGATATTACAGGAATAGTCCCCGGAAAACTCTTGCATTCTTTTCCCTCACGACTATGTTGGTTGTGATCACTAGAGACAACGTACAAAGTTTCACGCAAGAGGATTCATGTTTCCGAAGAGAAACAAACGTGAACCAGGCTCTATGGACGGTCGAGGGTAGGTCGGGCGGAAACCTATGCGACGCATGGAGAGAAGCGCGCCTTGAGGCGGCCACGTGTAAGGCGACGCTTTGGGATCGGGTCAAAGCGTTCAAATCCGAAGAATAGACAAAACAGTCGATGAATAAGGAAGCATCAAGTGTAAAACGTTTTGCTAAAGGTGGGGCTGATGCCAATATTTGCGGCAGATGTACGGCGGCAATTCAAAGCGTGACAATTGGAATTTTCCGAATTGTACAAAGCAAACAACTTTTCTGTTCTTTTCGTTCTTATGGTTAACAAATGGTGCCAGCCAGTGATATAGAACCGTAACGTCGTTTAGAGGAACACCGGGCCAGGCCGTGATGGTGCTGTTGCGAACAGCCGTGCGTTGCCGCACGATCACGGAAGATCAGGCTGGGTCATGTCGGCAGTACTTCGCAGGCGACCGGCGCACCCAGGGTTCTGTTGGAGCACTCAACGCGTCACACGGCAAAGGCTTCAGATCTGGACCCCAGAACTTTTTACAGACTCCCATAGATAACTAGGGAGATTTTACAAACAATTCACGACTAGGGTTGAAATGTATGACTTATCAATTTCTTCACATTCTGAGGGATTTTTCTTTTCAGAAGCAATGTGGTCATTCTCATGGACTGGTCTTATAACGCAAACCTAAAATTCTACCTAAAGAGGTTGTTCGAAAAGTAATGCGGGTCTCGCGATGCCACGCATACTTGTGATATTTTAACCCTTTGGCGACAATGGCACCCACCGGTGGGTGCCACTATGACCGTCGCGTGGGACAATGGCACCCAATGGTGGGTGCCACCCTTAAATTTTCTTCTTTACCCATTTAAAACATTTTCAACATA